CAGAGCTTCAGAGGATGCAAAATCTCCCCTTCACAAAGAAGAACATTTTAAAGTAAATGAGGACGATAACAGCATTGTAACTGTAAGACTCACACTAACCTTTCCTAGCAAATTCTCACAGTAATTTTAGTACAGTATTTTAAATGGCTTTTCATGTGTCTGGATCATAAGGTTCCTCTTTCCTCTTGCTGTTTCTCCTACATTTCAAAATAGCAATTTTTTTTTTTGTTTTCAAAAAGTATAATCCTATAGCACAGAATCCTGCAGACCTTACTGCTCAGTGAATACTCAAAAGGATACTCGCTACCAGTATGTTAAAAAAATCTGGCTTTTCCAGACAGTCTGTCACTCTATTATCTGCAAATGCACTTGAAAAGTTTAACAGATGTTTTTCTTCAAGAAGAAATTTGATGTCATTGTTTAGATCAATTTCCTTTTTAAAAGATGTTGGGCATACAGCTCCCTCAGAAAAGGCAATCGAGGTGTACACACCAGCATTTTCCAGTGAAAAAATGCCTAATATTCCAGGAAAAAACAGGACTCGGGGCAACAACTGCTTTCAGTAGAAACCCAATTTCTTTCACATAGCTATTTTTGTCCACATACTCTGCATTAACCATTTAAGAAAAACATTTGGTAAAGAAATCATAAACGTTTATTAGAAATATGTTATAGAAATGAAGGTAATATTGGAATGACTATCCCAAGAGCAGGCAGTACCTGGCTTGTTTTATTGTACTGATTACGCTCACGGATGGTGCGTGACCTCCGTTAAACCAAGAAGTTGCCTACCAACTGCAGCATTTCATACAGCTTTCCCTGTGATAAATTCCCCAGCTAGAAATTAAATTAGCGGTCCTATTTGCTCTTGCCTGACTCTGTAATGGGTTTCACCCCTTGTAGAACTCAAATCCGCTAATTAACAGAAGTTGATTTCTTCAAGTCCAGCAGACAAGATTTTTTGAATTTTTATGCCGAGTAAAGTCCTACTAATGCTTCCTCATGAATGTGTATGAAAACTGGTTCGATTTTGTAGTTTGTTGACTGCCCTTGACATGCACCTAGACACTCGAGCTCCGAGTGGCTTTATAGGAGTCTAAAGATTTGAAAACACTAGAAATACTGAATACTTCTGTAGTGGCCTGATGTGCAGGTTACCTGTACTTAGGAAATACTTTCTTCAGTAAATGCACTACCTTCGGTTGTGCATTTAAAAGTGTTTCCAGTGTAACACTCTAATCCTCCACTAGAGTGTAAGTGGAATTTATACTTCTCAGCATAGCGTTAATTAAAACGTAGATTCAGAGGTAAAGACAGGCTGGATTTCTTCAAAACAACATTAATGAAGCTCAGAAAAACACAATTAAACATGTAACGAAAGTAAGATGCTTCTTCCTATGGAGCAGTGTAGATAATGATTCATAATAAAATGAATTAAAATTATATTAAACCTTGATTAAATAAAATGTAAGCAAATAATATGTTTTCAGGGCTTCTCAAGCACTTATGCTTCTCAAGAACACAAGAGAATAAAAACAAAATGTGTTTAAAGCTAGGAGAAAAGGTGGACTTTGTATGGAGGATACAGAATATCAAAATATCAAAATTTGTACAGTTGTACAGAACAATCCCAATCAGAATGTTTAGCTCAGATTTTTTTTCACATGCCTGTGAGTGTAGCTGTCTTAACTTGCTTAAGGAGAAAGCAATAATATATGTAATAAGCTTTTTATTCTGCTTTGCTATGGAAACAAGGCATGTGTGATCCCACTCTCTCACTTTCTGCATTTTCTCAAATAATTTTTAACTTGCTGGATGATTTCACCTAATCAAAGTGGGGAAGGGGGAGTACATGTAGTATCAGAAACAATTCTTTTCCCATGTTTTTTAGGAAACAGCTAAGGAGAGGGACTCAGCAAGTGCTCTGCCCGGGACAACGCGGAGGCCCAGGTGGAGGGGCCGTATGAAGGGCTGGAGCAGACACGACCTCCCCGGCCATCGCCCCTATCCTGCTCCGCAAGGTAGTAACTGCAGGTAGTACCCCGCAGTTTCAAGCCTTTTTTCAAGCCTCTTCCCAACTATATTGACCTGCTGTTGATCACCGTATGAACCAGAGAGATTAACTCAGTGCAGTTTAACTTCTAGCTGCTGGCATGTGTCCTCCCAGGTTCGCTCTGCTTGAAGGAAGGTGCTGCTTCAAAAGCAGCTGCGCCTGGGCTGCGCTATCCAGAAAAGGAAACTTTTCACAACTGAAGATATGATTCCTATCTGGACAGGTGACACCAAAATAAAATTATAGCCTTCCCAAAACTGCATCTGCTTGCTAATCCCCTGGTGAGTCAAGCCACTGTGACAGTAATCAAGTCTTTATCTTGGTTAGAAAATGTTTCCTTATTTGGACTAATGAACCACTTGTCCATACCTGTTTGTTTTTTAACCGCACAGAAAGAGCGTTTAGCCAGGCTTCATCTTCTCCACCAACCGCAACAACGTGTATACGCCCCTAAGGTTACTGTAACAAACCTAAGTTCCATGTAGGAGAATTAAGGATTTTCGTATTTCTAACAAAAGTTAGATGCTCTTATTTTAACCTTTGTTCATGTTCATACTTCCAGGCATGAAGTGCTACTAAAGCACGTTACACTTGGCATCTCTTATTACTGAAGCAGAAGGCAATGGTAATCTTGTGAGAAGGTGTAATAATGCGATATTCATTTTGCTTCTGTGGCTGGAAGCCAACTCTATATTAATATTCATTTCCAGTATACAGAGCCACAATATTTCATTTATTTTAGGAGTTTACAATTAATTTGGTATGATTCTGTTATCTGCTCCCAATTTCCTTCCCTGTTCCTTTTAGCTGAAAAAGCAACTCCGGTATAGACTTAAAAAAGTAAATTCACAACTGAAGCATCAAAAGATTGCTACTGGCTACTATAAGTAAGAAAAATAGGGACAGAACAAAATGAACTTGAAATATTACAGATGACAATGAAAATTAGCTTCTTTCACATGGCAAAAATTCAATCTGCAGAAGTTCTCAGCTGACTTCTTGCTTTCCAAACTCAAGCAGATAAAATGGTCTTTGCAACCTGCTGTTTGCTACAATAACCAAAACAGAGAAAATAAGAGTTTTTCACCTGCTTCACATGTTTTCAACCGCATACTACTAAACTGCAAGTACTCTGGTGAATCCTTGTAAAATCTATTAGCTATAGGGATTTTAAACAATAACACAGGAAATCCTTCATATTGCAAAGCTTCAGAAAATCCATAAATAGAAAACTCCATTTCCTACACCTTTGGTTTAATCTAACACAATCCCTTTTGCAACACAACTGAATTTATACATAAGTTATTAACTAACCAGCTAGTTGTAAAATGTATAAGCTCAGTAAATACGCATTTACCTTCCTTACCTGCAGAAGTGGCTGAAAAGCATTTCACCTCCCAGCTGCTGGGACTTACTTTCACGTAAAAATGAGATTCCACTCAAGACCACAGACACGACAGACACCAAGGGAGCCACCACTATAGCATCTAATTTAAGAAACTGTACAGGATCTGTAGCGCTCCTTGGGAAGCTAATTTTCTAATACTATCCTCGCAAACAGCTTTGAAGAAGGGAAGAGGGAAAAAAAATGTGAAACCTATGTAAGTGAAACTAGACTTCCCAATGTTCAGAAACCTTCAAGAACGACTCCTAGTAGGTACGCCCCCACATATACAAATGAATAATATTTCAGCAAAGCTTGTCTGTCAGTGCAACACAAGACCCGAGTCTTATTCTAGAATAGATGCTTAGAGAATTACACTGTGAATGTGGAGGATCTTACACAACACTTAAATCTTTAAACTTTGGTAATAAATTTTGCCTTTTGGGGAGACTAGATTTTTTTGTTTGTATAGATTTGAGAAAGAAGGAGGGGAGGAGACACAGTATCTTTCCAGAATTATCTCTAAATATTTAACCTTAACATCCAAAGAATTTCTACAGTGTAAGGTATGCATCTGCTTTAAAAGATGGTAAGATAACTTTATAAACACACCACAGAAGCATACATATGACATACCGATTACTGAATAACGTAAAAAGGCGTGGAGGTGCTATTTTATTGCTAAACCAGTCAGTTCACCTGAAATCTAGTCAACTAAAATGATTACACTCAGAAATAGCCTCAAGTTCCCTATAAATATTTGTAATTAAAAATTAACAAACCATGCCCTGATCATTCTTTCACGCTTCTGTCTCATATTATGAACTGGAAAGGCCGCAAGAACAGCTGGGGAGACAGACTAGCTGAATAAAATACTATTTATAGAGAAAAACAGATAAAGAATAGATGACAAAGTTATTTTAGAAAGGTTTTTTCCTTCTTCCTCTCTTGCTAATTTAAGGAGTATTTTAAACACTGTGTTTGATAGGAGTGAATTCTTTTTTCTTTTTTTTTTTTTTAATAAAGCAAATAATTTGTTTTGAAGTAGATGCTATTCCTGTATGCACATTGAGTTTTATTTCCTGAAATTTAACATGTACTGTTCTGATCTTAATGAAGTGTTTGCAGTTCTATTTTCAGCCAGCCAAATGAGAAATGTAAAACAGATACTTCAATTGCACTTTTTAGTTATTTTATATCATATCTGACACAGCTACACATTGCTTATAAATGCCTGCACTTTGAAAGTAAAAGAGAGAAATAAACAGGAACAGTCCAAAAATAAGCTCTCCTACCACTAAAGGGTATAAATACCATTACTCTAGTCACCTGAATACTGCAATTCAGTTTTAACATACCACATAATATCAGATACGATTCCTTTTTCATAAAAAAGAGAAGAATTAGAAGCTTGTCAATTTAAAAAGTAGAATGACAGAGATGCTTCTAGTTTGACACTCTAAAACTTCAAGTAATTGAATTTTAAATTTGTTTAAATTATTTTTGCACACCATGCATCTCATCTCTGCTAGTTGAAGTTAAAAAAAGAAAAAGACACCTTACCTTCTGTCCACTGCAGGAAGCCGATAGTGAGCAGAAACCAAAAACTTTGCATTCTGCAACCAGAAGACAGCATTATTGATCCCTGTAAGAGTTTTCTTTGTATTCCTTAATGAATCCAGTTATAAAAGCCCAGCATCATCGAAACCAGTGGTCTGCATTATTCATCTTCATATCTGGAGAATCAGAGGATTTGGAAAGAAAAAAAAAAAGGGAAAAAACAATGTCTATCAATAGCGGAACACCAACAACTTGATATATCAAATTTCATTTGACAAGTAGACAGAAAATTTTAATGAAAACTGACAGTACACCTGTATTATAGCTAGGAATTTGGCAGGTATGTAGGATTCAATCTGTCAGGGTCAGCGGTCATTAAGCAGAATGCCAAATAATGATACATGTTAAAGCTGAAAGTATGAATGCGATTAAAGTACTCGCACTAAGACATACAGAAACATATGAGAATGTTTTCTCTGAATTTAAGAAAATGAATTTGTAGATGACAAGGTTTTAAGTTACTTTTTCTCGTTCCCCGAAGTCTCACACAACCTGCATTTCTCTACCTCAGAAAGCAATAGCATTATTAAATCCAGGACACTATGATGTGTCTTAGCGGCTGAACCCACGCAGAGGCTGAGAAGAGCTGCGCAGCAGAGCCCAGCGGCAGCACCTTGCAGGCGAAGCTCGGCAGGTCATCTCCCTGCCCTGCTCCCTTCCCTCCACCGCCTGCTGGCTTCCCTCGACACCTCTTACACCTCTGTCCCTCACCTTAGACAAAAAGCAACTGTTTTGTTGAGGAAGCCCTGTCCATATGACTCTGCAGTTTGGAGTATTTCTCCACAATGAACGCCTTCGGACAAAAGGAGACAAACTTAACAAATGATGCTCTACTGTCTTTGGCTCCTGACAAGATTTTTCTCTGACTGAAAAAGAAACATTACCTCAACTGCTCTTGTAAACTACATACCAAAGGAAGACTTATTAAAGCTATCATTTGCATTTGAAAAATAAAATTATGGTGATAGCGAGCAGTTACTGTCACAGACGATCCAACAGCAGAGCGCTCCCTTCAGCTAATGACTTCATTCTTTCCCCAGCCAACTGGGTAAGCACCTGCATCCTCTTCCATAGCTCACTGCACGAGCTGGATCGTGTTTCAGCTCTGACTACTACAGTTTGAGAAGTTAGGGAAAAATGAACATCAGGATAAACGAGTTTTATGTATGAAGATGGCTCTATGCACTGCAGAAACGTGAAACTCTAGAAGAACAACTCCCTGAACGTAACTGCAATGACAGATCAAAAGAGTTACGTTCTGTGCCGCATCCGCATGGTCTTCCCAAGATGCATGAACAGGACTGTTATTTTCATGTGTGGATGAATCTGAGATACTTGAAATTAACATTATTTTATAAAAATACAGCAATAACTATGCTGTGTTCAGTGAAACTACAACTGGTGAGATCCAAGGGTCACTTATGAGTCTTACGAGTACTGCAGCACGTTTAGGACTTGAAAAAAAATGTATTTATCCTTTTGCCAAAGAGAACTGGAAATTAACAATCACAGGCAAAGAAATTCTACAAAATACAGATTTTTTTTTTTGAAAAGCAGAAAATGTAACTCCTTTTACATTAATCAATTTTAATATTAATCACTAATTAAGTTTGTTCCCTGAGCACATGGACAGGAACAAGACTGACTGACATCTTTTTCTTTCAGGAAAGAAAGACTGGAATTAACGGAAAAGATTACAGAATATCTCTTTAGCTCCAAATGGGGGCTAGATGACGGTGGTAGAACAGGAGATTATTAAATACTCATGTAGGCAGCTTCATTTGGCTCCTTCAACAGGAGTGATGCCACTTCATCACAGGCGTCCTTCTCACAGAATGCAAACTTCCTTGCAATTTCACTTACGGGAAAGAGCTCTGACATCTGAGGCTGACCAATTTCATGTTTGTTTATGCATTAAAAATAACCTCTTTTTCCAATTTGCAACTGCTGACAGGTGCTGTTCAGTCACAAGCACTTTTATCCCCACGTATTTCAGACAAGAGCACGCAACAGCAGTGCAGTGCCTTGGTGCACAGCAGCCAGAGAGGCTCTCCCTGGCACACACCCAAGTGCCCCAGAGGTAAAGGACCTGCCCTCAGTTTAGCGTGTGCTACGCACCAGCTGCTACAGGGCTACCCAGAAGCACTATTGTATCTCTAGATCTTTAACAATGGGCTAAGAGTGTTTTGCAACTGGAAAAAAAAAAGTCTAAAAATCCACAAAGGATGCACTGCATGCAGCAGAAATTACAATTGCTAAGAAGCGCCTGCTGAGTAAACCACCAAAATTGCCACCATGATATCTAAAAAGAAACCCCTAGAGATAGTTCTGCTAAAAGCTTGGGGAGGGCCTGGATTAATTTTTCACCTGCAGCACCCAAAGGGAAAAATCTTAAAACTATCTCACAGACACCACAGACTACTCAGTATAATTTCAGTAAGCAATCAGAATAATCCAAGAGAATAGATGAGGAACAATAATGGCTAAAAGTAAAATTAAGTCAGCCTTCTGATTGCTCCTAGTCTGTCCAGAGGATTTTGACTTCCTGAGACTCAGATTTTATGACTATTTATCTCCATAACCTATTGCTGCATAGCTGCACAGTCAGATTTTCAGGCACTTTTCTTCACCTTCAGGTGGATCGTAACATACTGCTATAATCCTTAATTTCATTGCTTTCTTGTTTTTTCGGAGAGGGAGGAGTTTTTTAAAAAATAAAAAAGTAGAGCACCTCTTGGGATAATTAACCTCTCTAGAAAAAAGTTGCCAAACTTATAGCAGATTTTATTTTTTCAGTAGAGTAAGAGTTCCTGACCTTGTAAACTGACTTATTTTAACTGTTTTCATGAGAAACCACAGTTTCTGAAAGGGTATTGATATTTTTACGATACTGAAACCAGCAGAAACTATTCAGCTAAGGAAAGACGCAAAAACAAAACAAAAAAGCCTAAACCCTAATCAGCCTCTACAGGTTACCAGTAATACGTTTTTGAAAAAGCTGGAAAAAAAGTAAGTAAAGTTTGAAAACTGATGCAATAGGTTTTATGTTTGATTCTTTTTTTCCCCTCCAGTAAAAACTAACAGCTCTGCAGTGAACAATTTTTAATCTGACCTCTATACTTGACAAACTACATGTGGCTCCAAATGCAAGAACACAGTTCTGAACCATCTGCTCATCACCATAACAAAATTAATCCAGAAAACGTTATCTAGACTTGAGCTGGAGCCAACGAACATTTTGTAGACACGAGACATTGCCATCACTCTTGTCGTTCTGACCATGCAACAATCAGAGAGATGGAGATAGCCAGCGCAGTCTCACAACAACAACAAAATCCCAAATCAAACAGTAGGACCAGCTAAAGCCATATTAAATTATTTCTTTGTAAACAGAAAAAGTAGATGGTGGCAAATGGCTACCCTGCACAAATAACTTATTTCCCCTTGGACCTTAATAAACCTTTTCTCTGGATCACTGACTGCTTGCGCTTGTGGGTGGGGGCAGAGAGAAACTCCCTAGAGCAAAAGGCTGCTTGAATTTCAGAGTGCAATAAAATCGGCCTAGAAAACTTCACTTGTAACTTAAATCCCTACCTCTGAGCCATACTGCAGTCTCTCAGAGAAAAAAAACTCTGCTGGAAACTGAGTGGTTCACCTTGTTAAGTCTCTGTGCATACGCGCTGTTATAGGAGACTAGATCAGTTAAAGGGAACGTTAGTGTTCAGTCCTGCACAGCGCAGTTTTATTGGGCGTCTCTTCATCCTGTATTGATGAGCTATGCTCCAAGCCCCAGATATCTTAGTATCTCTGCTTTGCTTCCTCGTTCTTCTGTACTTCTGAAACCTCTTACATGAGCAGCATCACCCCTGCAGAACGTGTGCCACGGCTGGTCACCTCTCCCTCCACACTGCTCCGCAGCGTCCCAGGCATGGAAAAAAACGGCTCCAACCATGCTCCAGGAAACATTTTCCTCTTTGAAGAGAAGGACCTCTGCAGAACCGCTGCTTCCCAACATCACTGTTTAATCTTCCCACGGTTTTATGTTCAAAAGCCAAAAGAGGGTCTTAAGAGCTTCAGGACAACAAACGCAACACGCTCAAGAGCTGTCTCTTCCCTCATAGTCCATACAGCTTTTCAGTCAGTTAAAATATAGTGGAAAGTGCAGTTCTTTTTAGCAAAGTAAGAATGTTTGTCTTTTGCTAAAAGTCTTTCAGACTAATGCTGATGTATTTTACAATGTAGCACTTATTTACCAAATCATCCTAGAAACAGCAGAAAGCACTTGCAGCCTTTCTTATGCTTTAACATCTCTATTGCACAAGTAGAAGTAATGCTAGCTTCATAGACTAGAGTGGTGCCGCACAGAGATGTAAAGAATATTAGCTGTAATTGCATTCCCTGTATGCTCTGATGGAGCTAGCAGAACCTTGGCAATCTTTCTTATAAATCCTACATGACCTGCCTTGCCATACATGCAGCACCCCCACTGCCTTTCATAACCCAGTTTATGAAACTAAGTAATTCTGTAATATATCTGAGACACTCTGCAGAGGAAACTGGGGGGAAGAGGCGGCAGGGGTGAGTAGATACATATTCATACAATATAAGAGGCTACTTAGTCTCCCAAGAAATCATGCGTCCATGTGCCTTTTCACCGTGAAGCCTTCCCAGTTAAAAAAAAAAAAAAAAAAGACAGTTACACTTCCTATAATCTATAACATATGAATTCATTTAATGCAGTATGATTAGTAAAACCTTCTAAAGCACACTAGTAAAATAGCAGAATGAGACTTAATATCATTTATGATCTGAGAGCCACAGTTTTACATGTTTGCAATGTGAGAGCCAGGTCTAGTTTTCAACATTCTACTTTTATCTTTAGATGCATTCAATGAGTTATTTCTAAATCTTCAATACAATTATTCATAAGTTGACTGACATTAGTAACTTGGCATTAGTGCTACAGCCACCAGCTTGTGTAAAATCTTCAAAGTTATGAGATCTTACCAGAAAACCGAAGACAAGCAAGACAGGTGGTGTTTAGCTGGCATCTTTCAACTACTTATGGTAAACAATCAATGCCTAATCTGTCTCAATTAAACAAGTTGCTTATTGC